AGGAAAGTGGGTTTTATGGACCAAAAGGAAGAAATCTTAATTACAGTCTTTGACGGATGGGCGTTCTGTCAGAGTAGAGTTTTTGGAAGCAGGAAGCTTCCTGATTGGCCTTCAAGTGCATCTGACAGTCCTGGTTGGTCGGGCTGGGAGAGTCGCATGGGTTTCTCTGTGTCAACCTAACCAGCATCTGCTCCTTCCTGTGAGACCTAAGTCTGGCATAGCAAGTCCCCAGTAGAGTGTTGGACGTGGTCATCCCCACACTGCTGTGTGTGCCTGTTGGGTAGAGCCAGTGAGACATCTACGGAGTGTGGGGAGCCGGGTGCTCACTGCTGGGGAAGAGCGACACCAACACCGCCTGGGAGAGCTGGGAAGAACCCTGGGGTTTGCCGTTGGACTTGAGACTCTCCCTGATTTTGCTAAAAAGGGATGGAGGTGGCTTGGTGTCTCCAAGCAACTTCCTAGAGAGCAGTGCCCCAGATTTGGTCAAGAATAAACACACTTGTGCAGAAGACAAGAAAAAAAATGCACAGGCTTAGAAGGAGAGCTGGTAGAAGAACACAAGGGCAGGTGGGAGAGAGGGGGGACCGGGCATCGGCAATGGTGAGCAGGTGTGGTGGGCAGCAAAGGTCCGACCCCAGGGGCAGCTGCTTGGGCCGCGCTGCTTCGTCCGCACCCCATTTTATCTTGTAGAATGTAAGAGGGGGCACTTACCGGAGCTATAACAATCCTCATTAACACATGGTCCCTGTCTTCAAAAATTAAGCGAATAGTGTGCTGATGGAGGGCCCCGGCTGTGGAGCCCGGCTCACTAAACGGGAGCCTTGGGTCCACTCTCACTGGGGTTCGTCGGCTGCGTTGGCATCACAGCCCGAAGACTGGGTGGCTTCACCAACAGGAATGTATTTCCTCACCGTTCTCAAAGCCAGAGGCTCCAAGATCAAGGTGCCGGCAGGGTTGGTGTCTGGGGGAGCCTCTCTGCTTGGCGTGCAGACAGCCGCCTTCTCGCTGCATCCTCGCCTAGCCTCACCTGTGCACACAGGACAGAGTTCTCAGTGTCGCCTCCTCTTACAAGGACACCAGTCCTATTGGATTAGGGCTCCGCCTTCTGACCTCATGTAACCTTACTGACCTCCCCAAAGCTCCTGTTTCCACATACAGCCACGTTAGGGGGTTGGGGCTTAAACATACGAATGTTGAAGGCACACAGTTCAGTCCATAACCCTGTGTGACCCAGGATGGTTAACTAACCTCTCTGGGCCTTCGTTTGCTCCTGGGCAAAATAGATGTATCCGCACCACCAGAGAGGGCTGTGGTAAGGATGTGATGGCCCAGGCACGGAAAGCGTTTGGCGCCTGGCATACAACGCACACTGATCAACGGTGTTTGTGACTTAATTCAATACCTAATTTGTGGATTCATCAACTACTTGGCGAGAGTAGAATTAGGAGCACGCACGTAGATGCCTTTTTAGACATTTCAACTTGTTCTTGCGAAGCTAGTGGTGAGTCCCAGTGGCCCGCCAATGCGTGGGCCCCAGAAGGAGCAGCAGCGCTCCCTGGCGGCACCGTGCACCTGGGCCAAGGCGGCTCTTGGGGGTGAGTGAGGAGCACGGGCCGAACTGACCTGCTGGAGGGGAGCGTTCTTCCAGGACCGCAGAGATGGCAGCACCGCCCCTCCCCGTCACAGGCCACCCGGGTTCTCCCACACGGAGACTCTGAGGCACAGTGCACGGCACTTTCTCACCGCGCTAACCCAGGGCTGCTCTTCCTGAGCGTGAGGACCAAGAGTGAAGGAGGGTCGCGTCCTGCAGCCCGGCGTTTGCAGTGAAAACCCTCGCCCTGGCCAGTGTGGCTCGGTGGACAGAGCATCAGCCTGTGGACCAAAGGATCCCGGTCAAGGGCTCCTCATCAGCCCGGGCCCTGGTCAGGGCTCGTGCAGGAGGCAGCCAATCGATGTGTTTCTCTCACATCGATGTTTCTCTCCACCTTTCCCTCTCTCTTCTACTCTCCCTAAAAAAAATCTATAGTAATAAAAGTGAAATATGCGAATTAGACTGGACATCCTTACAGATGACCTTCTGGACGAAACCAGGGCTGCGAGGGAAGCCTGGGTCCTGGGTGCCAGAGGGAAGCCAGTGCCGGCAGCTGGGGGGAGGAAGGCCTACTCTTGCACGAATTTTGTGCATCAGGCCTCTAGTAAATAAATAATTAAAAATTAAAAACATTAAAAAAAATAAAAAATAAGCCCAGAGCATCTCCAGTGCAGTCCTGGGGTCTGAATACTGGCAACGGATTAATTTCACAGGATGCTAAGGGGGGAGGGGCCCACCCCTTTTATTTTGCTGGAGTCAGATTCTCGGAAATGTTGATCCTTTGTCTACCTGCTGAGCAACTCCTCTGGCCTTTGCAAGGGGGAAGGAGGCTCTCTCTTGAGGAGGCTTCATGGCGCTGGCATTCGGCACAAAACGCCTCCCACCTGACGTGCTGCTGTGAATCTAAACATGGGCTCTGCCTGCTGAGTCCCCGGCGTGCAGGCCTGGCCCGAGGCTGCTCGGTGCCTGTTCCAGATCCCTTCGCTGCCTCCATGGCTTTCCCGGCTTCGTGGTGGGGCCGTGGGAGCGGGGCCTACGCAGCTAATGGAGAAGTCGGCCCTGAAGGAATGACCGAATGGACGCCTCCGTGTCCCGAGTAGTTTTGCAGAGATGGCAGGGAAAGCGTGCCCACTGCATTCCCTGTATTTACACCAAGCCTGTGGGCTAGTCTTCTCTCGGGAGACGGGTGGCGTTTCCCTCAGTCTGTCATTTCACACTTAAAAAGAAGCTACTCCTGGTTCAGGTCCCAGTAGGACTTAGGCACAGTTGGGGTGGGGGAGGTCAGAGTCATGACCTCAGGGCTCTCCCAGAGCACATGAGTGTGCACCTGTGTGCACGGGCCCCTGTGTGCATGAACACCTGTGTGCACGGGCCCCTGTGTGCATGAACACCTGTGTGCACGGGCCCCTGTGTGCATGAACACCTGTGTGCATGGGCCCCTTGTGCACGGGCACCTGGGCCTGTGTGTTTGTGTGGCCTGGCGGGCAAGTGTGGCTTGATGAGAGCCAGACTCTCACGTTGCTCCCCTGAGCGCCCCTGGGAGGCTTGGACTCCCCAGCACACGCTCTTGTGCATGCTAGCGTGTGTCTACAACATGGACAGCACCTCCATCGTTGTGACACCCTACGCAGGTCACAGTTGGAACAGCCGCAGGCAGCAGCCCCGCCCAGCTCCCCAAGGGCCCCTGGGGACAGAGAGCCCACACTCACACTAAAGCCTCCGCTCTTCTCTCTGCAGGGATGACATGCCAAGCTCGGAGCTCCTACATCACCAGCGAGATCCTGTGGGGGTACCGGTTCACCCCGGTCCTGACGCTGGAGGACGGGTTCTACGAAGTCGACTACAACAGCTTCCACGAGACCTATGAGACCAGCACCCCCTCCCTCAGTGCCAAAGAGCTGGCTGAGCTGGCCAGCAGGGCAGAGCTGCCCCTCAGTTGGTCTGTGTCCAGCAAACTCAACCAACATGCGGAACTGGAGACCGAAGAGGAAGAAAAGAACCTCGAGGAGCAAACAGAAAGGAATGGTGATGTGGCCAACCTCGAGAACGAGTCCAAAGTGTAGTCCCCCGGCCAGGCCTCTCCTCCCCAACCTTTCCCCAGGCCAGCCGCCCCTTCTCCTGTCCCCACCACCTTTCCCCTGGCCAGGCCACCCCTTCCCCTGTCCCCCCAACCTCTCCTTGTCTCTCATCCTCCTGCTTTCTGCCTCTCTTACTTTGTTCTTTATTTGTATTTAATTTTGGCATTACCAGAAAACAAATCTTCAAGGTGTAAAATCTCTGCCTGCCCTCCCTCAGTTACTCCGATTGAAGAGGTAGACACGGATTTGGTTAAGGTGTAAGGTGCCCTCGTTGATGGCCCACGCCTGTCTCCTCCCTAAATTCCACACACCCAACTCCTAGAGATTTAAGCTACTGACCTGCATGTGCTGTACAAACCAGATCACTCACAAGAGTGTGGCGAACAGGTGACCTGGGATACACATTAGGCCCAGTGCCTGTTCATTCCTGCAGTGAGACACAGAGTGTAGCCCTCACTTTCCTAGATCCCCACACATTTCATCTCCAGGGCAGGTGCTTGCCCCCCAAGGGCATCACAAGGTGTAGGACCCAGGTGAGGCAAAGACAAAACACTGTACATATATATGCCTTATGTAAGTATTTTCTTTGGCAGTTATTAATAAAACCCAGCATGTACAAAAGTACTGTAGAACACAACTTCTAAATAATGTACATAGATATATAATTAGTGTAGGTTTAGATATATAACTTTAGAAATAAGATGGAAGAAAAAAGATTCTCACTGTACAGTAGGCATTTCCGTTCTGATGTCTTTTTCTGAATTGCTTTGGTCCCATTCACTGCTGGCCCTTTCGTGCATGGCCTCTGTTCTGTGTCCCAGACTGGCAGCCCGTTCAGGTCCCTCACTGCTCCCTCACTGATCCTTTCGTTGAATCTAATAAGCCATAGGTCTGGGGGGAGTTGGGAGGTCCAGCAGATGGCAAAACGCACCACCAATACCCTGATATACTGTGAAATGTTTACAAACTGAGGCCTCTCGTTTAAGACAACCAGGGCCTCACTGACCAGCCTGGGGAAGAATTCCCCGGGGACGTTCTCGGGCTTGTCACCAATGACATGTTCACGCTTTCACACGAGCGCTCACCCTTTGTAGTCTGGGACACTCTTCTGCAAAACCACTGATTCTCCAGCGGTTCCATTCCGTAGTCACGAGAAACTACAGACTTTTACGAGGAGACATGGCAGGTGAGCAGAAGATGGTTGGGTCTGGAGTCATGAACTTCATAAAGGCTCATAGTGTCACTGACCTCACACACTGACTTTATCCTGCACTCTTTCCTGACCCGGGGGCTTATCCATCTGCTTCTTGCATTGTTATTTATTCTATTCTTTTATTATTATGAAATGACCAGAGTTCAACATTCAAAGAGTACACCAACAATCTTGGTGACTACGAAATCTCTCAAAAGTATGCCACAGGTTAGAAATCAAATCCAAAGTGTCTCTCAAGCAAAAGAAAACAAAAAACTGCAGCCTTAATTCATTTCAATCTGCAAAGATAAATGTAGACATAGAGAGGAAGAAAAAGAGGAGAGGAGGGAAAAAATGGAGGGAGAGCTAAGAGGGAGGGTGGTATTTTGTACTGAAAATCTAAATTTCAATATAAAATTTTTTTTTTCAAATAAAGAAAGAGAATCTTACATGAAAACATCAAGGGCAGGTGGAAATTTTGCACTGTGAAGATCTTTCACATTAATTTTACTCTTTTAAACTGTTTGTTCCCTAACTCAGTCGCCCATCATCAATATCCACTGACTGGAGGCAAGTTCATTGTCAGCTCCCACAGCTGTGCTCAGTTTGAGGCTCTGCACCGTGGAAGTCCAAGAACTCAAACTAGCCGTCCCTCCCTGTTGACCTTGCTCTCCCGCACCAGATCACCCAGGCCTTCGCCACAGTGGAGGGACCTTGTCTACTAAAAAGCGTGTGTGGGAGATAAGGAAAGGGGCTCCTCCGTCTGTCACGGGGCCTCTCTTCTCCCATTTCCAAGACTTTGCATCAGGACAACTGCTTCTTGGCACTGACTTTCTGGAGAACAAACCTGTTGGCCATAGCCCCTTCCTGTTTGCCAACATCTCACTCTGCGTTGAATATCTGTTGAATCGTTTATTCTTTCCACACTCTAAGGAGGAGGTTGCAGTCAAAGAGGAGGAGGGAGCCCCACACACTTCCTGCCAGGCTGTGGGAGGAATTGTGGCCTTTCCTCCACGTACGTACGTAGCCTTATACAGGGCGCTCTTGACTTGTGGGCGCCAACTCTGCAGCACCCCCAGAGCTGCAGAGCATGGCCTGGTAGCACAAAGCGAAATCGAGCAGGGGTTGCAAAAAGTCTGCTAATTTAGCTCTTGAAGACTCACTGGGCCTTTTTAAAACAGTTACTAAGGCTTAAAGGACCACACACGCCCTGTTGTCTGGTGGGAACAGCAGCTCGGGGCCCGTTAGCACAACTGAACAAAGAGCCTGACAGCCCTTGGTCACGCACATGGCGGTCGGTTCTGTCGCGGTGACAGGGCCCCCCGGGGTGAGGCCCTCCCTATCCCCACTGTCTTTGGTGTCCATGTAGTTGGAGACAGAACATGAACCAAATCTCGTTTTTGTAACGTGAGCCTCTGAGTCTCTCAACGAGGATGTTCCAGAAGACCCTTTTACTAGAATGTCCCGCGCAAACATGTCTATTTTTCTACAATTATTGATAACAGTTTAACGGTGTATTTTGTGTCAACTGTTAAAATTTGGAACGGAAAGAAGCTCATTAAGACTGGATTTTCTAAGCAGCAAGTACTGAACGGTGTTTTTCCATTAAGACAGTTCCACAAAGATGCCCCCACGATTTCCAGTCCCCACACTCCGTATCCAGACCCCCTCCCTCAGCCACTTTGTTAGCAAACCAAGTGCGATGAAAATAAACAAGCCTATTTTAATGCAACAGCACCCATAAGGATAAGAATCACTCTCGACTGGTATTGTGGTGTCTGGTTGGTGTATTGGAGTCTCTTTTCCATAAAACCATAGGGGGGTCCATTCACTGGAGAAGCACTTTGAGCTGAAGGTGGCCGTTTGCTCCAGTCGACCCCGATCTGGAGAAAAGGGCAGCTTCACCTCAGGGCGCTGAGACCCGCAGATTCTCACTCCCGCCCACCCCAGGGCACTGAGACCCGCAGACTCTCACTCCCGCCCACCCCAGCGGCGTTCCCGCTGACAGAGTCCTCTTCACCTGTGTCCGCTTTGTGTAGCTGCACAGTTGTTTGTGTCTTGGGTGTCCCCTGGGCAATGAGCACATCTGGGTAATGCCGGGTCATCGCTTTGCTGTTCCTTGGAAACCCGGCATCCCAGCCACTGGTCCAGGAGAAGGTGCCCTGTGCCCACCCCTCCTCCATCCGTCCCTCTCCTGCGCTCTTTCCTCCAGTCCCAGATCCATTCCCGTAGTTCAGTAACTCGTGTTTCCTCTCCGAAATCAGCTACTGTCCCTGAAAGTGCCAACCTGTCTCCCAAGCACAATTTCCTCTTCCGGGTTTAACCAGGTGAGGGTGCTAATGTCTGTTTTCCATTACATCCTAATTTCAAAAATTACTTATGACTTCACATAAAGCCGAAACGTTGAAGTCTCCAAATGCTTTCCCTCCCTACACTTTCTTATATTTCAGTTTCTTACTTTTTTCCCCCTTTGCTTTTTTTTAATTTAGATTTAAGCAGGTATCTTAGGGAGGTTCAGAAACTATTTGTAAAGATGGATAGAGAAGAAGGCTATAAAAATGCTGTTAGAAACTATACTTGAACTCGCCACAAGAATGTGAAATCATTTGGTTAGCTGAGCAATTCAAGATTTTTTATCCGTAGTCTTTTCCAAGACAGCTCGCCGTCAGTCTGACAAGTCTCCAGTCTTCCTTTCCTCGGCCTGGGTGGTACCCTGTGGTTCACAACAGGGCAGTTGGAAATGAAATGTCCTGCAGACACAGTAGATATTCTCTCCCAGGAGTTTCTTTGGGTGGATGGCTGTGAAGTCAGAAAACGGGCAACACAGACAATTCATTGATAATATTATCTTGTTTCTAGACTTTAGGGCCAACCTATACTTACGGACATGTTACCCTTTAATTAAAATGGAGTAAAGCACGCCTCTTCCTACTATCTCTGCCCCTGCTGTCCCGGGAGCTGCGGACGCAGCGTAGCATCTGGGAGTAGAGCTCGCTCAGGCCACTAGAGACATTGATGAAGCACAGTGTGTACAGTAACAAGACATTATGCCCTACTGCGCGCCGTGTCTGAGCACTTACTCAAACTACCCCACTTCATTCTAACCCCTCGGGGAGCTGAGTGCTAGAATTTCCATGTTATAAATGGAAATCCAGGGGGTAGGCAAATCCCGGCCTGGCCCCCGGTTCACAAGGCCTGCGAACTACAGGCCCCGGTCCAGTCCAGGTGCCGAGGTGTGAGCCCTGGGCTCTTTTTACTACAAAAAGGGTCCGCAAAGCAGATCTGCTCCCAGCCCCTGGCCGCCGCCTGGTTCTGGAAGCCTTGCAAGCTAGGAATGACTTGACATTTTTAAGTTGTTGGGGGGAAAGTAAACTAAAGAAGACTATTTTGTGACATGTGGAAAGTATATGAAATTCTCACTTCAGTGTCACAAATAAAGTTTTATTGGAACACGGGCACCCTATCCGTTATTATTGCTCCCACACGCTAGCAGAGTTGAGGTCATGTGGCCAGAGGCTACAATATTGAGAATCTGGCCTTTACAGGGAAAGTTTGCTGGCCCCTATACATACTATTAAATGCTGTTCATACCAGTAACTACTATTAGTTAGTAAGCATTATGCTGCAGTATTAAGAGATGCCGGGACAACTTAGAACAATATGCTCTTTCCCAAGATAAATCTGTACGCCACCCATAGGTCTGTTCAAAGGGGAAAAATACACATTTGTTGGTAAGCGGCCAACTGCTTCACAGGACTGTGGTAGCCCAGTCATAAGTCAGGTCTCAAAGAAAGACCTCTTCCTTCTCGGAACCCACCCCCCAGAGTGGTGAGCAGAGGGACAGCCAGCCAGGACCCAGCGGCCAACTCAGAAAGTGAGGCGGGAACACTACCCACTACTGAACAGCACAGAAATGGCGGTTCCCAGGCAGGGACCGGGTACCCACATACACTTTACTATGTAATTGGGCCTCAGTGGGGCGAGCTGGGCTTGCAGGGGAGCGCGCAGCCCCAGCTGCCCCCCCCCCCCATCCCAGCCCTCTCTCCCCCGCTCTCTGGCAGGAGGACTGCACTCACCTCTGAGCTGCCGCTGTGTCCCTACTGGTGCCCCCCTCCCTCCCACCACCACACCCCCACCTGCAGTGACCACGTGATAGATGAACCCTGAGCTACTGTTGGGGTTACACACACTAGTCTGGCCCCCTCCAGTAGCTCAGTGAAAAGCTTAACATACAAATAAGGACGTACATGCTTCTCTTGGAAAACCAACAGGTTCTTTGGAAAGAGCCGCAGGGGAAGCGAGAGTAGGAAAGGGTGGTTACTGGGCTGCCTGCTGCTTTCTGAGGCTGGGGCAGCAGAGATGGGTGATGACGGAAGTGGTGGATGGAAGGGGCCCGGACAGCGGGGCTTCGAGATGAGTCAAGAGGAAACTCGCTCTTCAGTGTCACTGAGCTGAGCCTCTGGGCTTCTAAGAAGCATTTCCAAAGCCAAAGGGTCGGCCAAGCCCAGTGGTTCCCGCTTCAGTTCTACTGAAAGCGACATCGACTTTCCTCGTAAGCGCTCTCCTAGAAATGACGTGAGAGAGAAAATATTTGTAACACATCACTGAGATGTTGTATTGCCAAGACATACCTGATGGAAGTTGAGATGGACTTGCTCCTGGGTCGGAAACTAGGGAAGGCCGTCTGCAACACGGATCATGCAAAAGGTTTGCAGCCCTGCAGTGGCATGGAACCCACGGTAACTCAGTGGGAGGGGAAACTCTCCAAGTTCACCACCATAAAACTCAAATAAGTGCAAGAGGAGTCAAACTTTTACTTGGCCTCATTGCCTTGGTAAAAGGAAGCTTCCGGCATCCACCTAGTTCAGAGTCCTGGGTGAGGGGGGACAAAATACTTCAAGACACCAGATGGGTTCACTGAGGTCCCAACGTGACTAAGTGATGGAGACTGATCGCCAGTGACCATGGGACTTGCAGACTTATTTTTAGATGCTCCCCACCCCTCCCCATAGGCCCGAACCCTAATGTGCTCTGTGGTTGGCCAGAGAAGTGTGACCACATAGGCCACAGGTCTTGATTTCAGAGAATGACATGTTTCTACTGACAGATGAAACAGAGCATTTTCAGAATAAAGCCCTGTGCTCACACTGGGCGTGAATACTGTGCTATCACCCAGCCACTCTCTATAAGCATAGGAAGGGCTGTAAGCAGCAGACACTGGGGAAAGAGATGTGGAACTCATCATCATGTCTAAGAAATCATAAAACATCCGTCCAAAGAAGCAAGATAGCCCAGGAGCCTAAGATCAGACCTCGTTCACCACCGACACCCCAGACCTGGCTGACGGCCCTACGGAGAATGTCTATGTGGGGTGTCTCACCGCCACACACAGCTACAGAGCCAGGTCGGCGGAGCCCGGAGCTGGGCCGCCACCTGCTGTGCATGAACAGAGCCTTCGGTCCTGGGCCAGCATTGTCAGAGGAGGAGGAGGAGCGCTGCTCTCAGGTCCGCCCAGCAGGTGCCGTTCTGGCATCAGCTCTGGCACAGCTGCCCGTGAGACGGGGAAGGAACAGGGCCCTCCCTTGGCTCAGCCTTGGTTCGTCCAGAAGCTTGGCCATGCCCACCTCTCTGGGCGAGCCTCTTCTTCCAGGACTGGTCCCTGCCCATCTAAACAATGACATCCCCCCGCCCCCCAGAAATGTCTTCCGGGAACCCTGTGTCGTTGAAGCTGACCGTGGCCAGCACTCTTGACACCACAGAACACCCACCTGGGTCAGGGAGACACCTCTCCCTAAAGGAACTAGTGTAGACCCTTTGAGTCCCCTGTGCACAGGCTGCCGCTCCCACACTAAGTTAAAGCCCAACAACACTGATGAATAAATGAAGTATAAGGAAGTCCAAAATAGGTCTCATTTTCCCATGGCGATTGTTGTAGCCTTTTATTCCCCTTCGCAAGTCGCATTCTTGAAACTCACTTTGGGGCATCATGATGCCCTGCGCACAAACTCAGTTGGCTCATCCGACGACCCCAGCCGTCTCCCCAGACGGTCTGACCCTGCTCCCTCCTTTTAAGAACAGGGGCTGGAGAGAAGAACCAAGATGGCGGCATAGGTAAACACCGGAGACTGCTGCCGCAAACAACCACTTCAAAAATACAACTAAAAGACGGAACAGACATCACCCAGAACCACAGGAAAGCTGGCTGAGGAGAGACTCTTCAACTAGAAGGAAAGAGAACAGCATACCGAAGCTCAGAAGAGGCGCAGTGTGGAAAATATAAAGGTACCGAGGTGCGCGCGCAAAGCGGGCTGGTGGCTGAGGGCGAGGCTGTTGTTTTCAATCAGGAGGGAGTCTCAGAATCTGGGCTCCAGATCCGGGCGAGTCTCTAGGGACTCAGACTCAGACGGGAGAAGCAGGATTGTCCGGCATCAGTCGGAACGTGAGGGCAGCTTTCTCTCCGAGGTTTGCAGCAGCGGCCGGGGTTCTGAGAAGCAGAGCCTCTAGGAACGGGACTGAGAGCAGCCATAACTGCTCCCTCCACCCGCCCTGTTGATCCCGCCCCGCCCAAGCCCTGCGCAGAGCCATTTGCTGGATCGCCTCAGGCAAAGGCTAGATTAGCACCTCCCCAGAGGACAGAAGTTTTCCACACAGCTGATTCTCACAGCCAGTCAGCCTGGTGGTCAAATCCCTCTAGTATTAACTACAACAATCAGGGCTTAACTACAACAAGACTGTGCACAAAGACCACTAGGGGGTGTACCAAGAAAGTGTAAAAAATGCGGAGACAAAGAAACAGGACAAAACTATCAAGGGAGGATATTGAGTTCAGAACCACACTTTTGAGGTCTCTCAAGAGGCTTCTAGAGTCTGTTGATAA